ATAAATCCATTGGTTGGGAGTTTGGTAAGACACCGTTTGCTTGTGTTTTGTAGCCCCTGCCTAACCATTCATAAAATGAAATGTAAATGTGAAAACGCATCGTCAACTCGTTTTTTAAGTATCGCCAGATTGGGAGCAGTAACGACATAACTAGGGAGAGCATTCCAAGGCTGGCACACGCAAAAGAGAAAGAAATTGCTACGGCATTCAAACCGGATATACTGAATTGTTAGTTTTAGAGGATGACCTCTTAGGTTAGTTTTGTGGCTCAATTCCAGCAGCGGACGGCAAATGTGGTTTGGCTTCTTCAGAAGCCGGTCCAATCAGAGTGCCTCAATCTGAAGTTTGCACCTGAACTATGACTCATTCTGATCGCAGCCGTTGAATCACTACCTCAAATTTAGGGTGCATTGCATAAAGCAAGGATCCGGCTTTGTACATCTTTGGCTGAGCAGCCTCGCAGAGTTTGATAAACGTCTTAAAATGACGCATTTTTTCAGTGTTTTCAAACAACTATGAGAACTGTTTTAATAATCCATTAAAAGTGCTGTCTTCAACAATGATTTGGTTGAGTCGCATGGTCTCGGGAAAGAACTTTATGCAGTTTCGACCCATCAGCTTCGGTTTGTTCCCAGGTACAAGGATTGAAGATAGGCTAAATTCGCGCTCCCCTTGCTGGCCTTAATGAAACCTCCGCCCAACGCTTGAATTGGGTCACTAGTGTACGTATGTAATCTCGAATCCCACCCTAGCAAAGTTGATAGCCATTTCATCGAACTGCGGTTTATGATGATGAGAGCTACCGCGGTATCTACCTCCACGTCTATAGTTATATCCTCCATCGTCAAACATATTGTGTAAGGAGGATAGTTTTTGTGTCACACTGTTCAAGTACACTAAGTTCACGGTTCAAATTTTCTGGGACCTTATCTTCACGAAGATCTATCTTGCTTTGATGATTCGATGAAGCGATTTTCGTAGAGTGGAAAATCTGCGCTCTACACACGCGAGCTAGATGGACTATATTGCCGCATTGCGAAAGAAGCTTTCTTTGAGCTGGCAATCGGAAGCCTGAGAGTACACCAAACCGCAACGATAACACAACTTCTTTTCCATGTTCACTAGTATCTGGTGTGCGGACCACGTGCATATAATCAAATGCGGCACAACCAATGAACTTAACTAAATGGTATGTAATATTATCTCGCTGGCGAACAATCAGACATAGCACAATTAATTAAATCCAAACTCCCTACTCATGAGTACATCAAAATGAATCCGCCCTAAAGGTTCTAAATGAAGTGTCGTACACATTTGCTATTAGTATACGTCGTATCATTCGGGGTCAAATCTGTCCTCTACAACGTTCGTAACTTACATGGCAGTGGAGTATAACACTCGATATGTCACAGTTACCTTGTAAACCATAAGGGTCCAAACCTGTCCTCCGTGGCCCAGAGGCATAAGCTGCTGACTTGTCGTGCAAACTGCTGGTGGTCATGGGTTCGCATCCTGATGGATGCGATGGATGCGCACTACTGATGATGCCTAACGGACTGAAACTGCAGTCTAGAAGTGCTTTTTCGGGCATGTGGACGACTATCTGATTTGGAATCTGGCTGCAAATTCTAATGAGACAAGAGATTGCCCACGTGGTGGCCGACTCAATCAAGGATCACAAGTTCTCTCTAGCACTCTTGTCCGATCAAACCGTGAATTTTAATTTACTTTTCAAATTTTCCCGGAGAAACATCATTATACTTACTCTCAGGAGTAGATTGATGAATGTGTGCAATATAATCATGGACACTTTCGTTCGGTAGCTGCACAAGTTTTGAAAAGCAGTAGTTAGCGGTGTGAACAGATTGTTTCCGCCGCCATAACGTGGTATAAGTATCCGAATCAGAAAATAGAGTGGCATAGTTTTCTATCTGCTGCGTATCGTAGTGCCGTTGACTTCATCGCCAAACACTTGCTTGTTTAGCATGATTTTGTGAGTGTTAAGAAGGCAAATGGTCGGATTCAGTAGGGGAAGTAATTCCACGTAGTTAGTAAATGATTTCCTCCATCTTATCCAGTTGGATAAGGTCGGGTTTTTCCTAGCAGTACTTAACCAGAAGATGGGAGATGTATCCAGCCTTGGGTTCGTCATTTTCGTCGCTCCAAAAACGTAGTACCGCTAAGCATGCAATGCACGCTTCAGAGATACGTAATCCCTGGAAGCAGAAGAGGTCTGAATAGCTGGCTTATCAATCAATTGAGGAAGGTCCAAGACTAACGGTAACTCGCGTTGCGAGACCGAAGTTTTGTGTCAACTGATTGGCTGGCTGGTGTGAGTGGAAACCTGTTGCGTCGCCGCTGATGCCTTCACCCCACGACCGCAAGAAGAAGTCCAAAGACGAGCCAGAAGGAGACTTGTATACATGAAATCACAGTTGCTTATATAGTTTGAAGGCAAAATGAAGCGAAGCTACTAAAGTACACTTGAGCCAACCAACTGAAGGAAAAACGTAAAATGCAACAGCGAATAAGCAACCGCGTATGTAAGAGCGAATCGCGTAAGTCCCTAAAAATAGCATCATTGGACTCCAAGCGTAAAGCGAACGACCATTTACAGTGACGGGCACTGGCCAATCAGAATGACGAAATGAAACGTTTAAACAAAAGTCACGAACCAAACGCGACTAAGGAATGCAGACCCGAAAGTTGAAAACTAGTACAATAATTGTGTGACACTAAATATTCCTTTAACATAACGAAGTAGAACAGTAATGAGAAGAAAAAAACCAATGGAATATGTTCTTGCAAACAGCGCTGCTGAGAAAGGCATGACAAGGAGCGTCCATTAACAATGACGCGGATGTACCCATCGGGCGAACCCAGTAGAGCTATAGAAATGGCTACACATATTTGATTGGGACAAACAGATTACAGACCAGGTCCCAAGAATGTGACCTAGGTGTGATCGTACGAGGGACCTCAACTGTTCAAAATAGGCTGACATAGCTGCAAACAGAGGCAACCAGCACCTCAGCATGCTGCGAAGCGCATCCGGGAGATTTGACCCATCAATCTTCCCAATGATACACAATTCCTACGTGCGCCCACATGTTGAATACGCTATCCAAGCTTGGCAAACTTGGTTGAATCGCGACCTAGAAGCGATAGAGGCACAATAAAGGGCAACAAAGAGCGTGAAGGGCCTGCGCTATCACTCTTACATCCGAAGGTTGAAGTTACTGGGAACTTGCAGTGGACGCTATCGAAGGCTGCGCGGTGATCTCATATTAGCGGATCAGATATTGAGTGACTTCAACCACGTATGCCGCCACTTGCTGAAACTTAGCCACAACACGCAGCTCACGGGTAACCGCTTGAAATTGAAGGAACAATATAGCCGTTTAGAGTGTCGACCTTATTACTTTTCCTTCGGGTTTGCCAACCCTGGAAAGCACTCCCAGACCCAGTTGTATCCTCACCTACCTTGGACGTTTTCAAAAAACGGTTAGATGTTGCTCTTAGATTCCAGCCCTTTGTTAATTAAACTCCTCAATTGTGGATTACACCACGCATGCTATTCTACAGGATTTTCGTATCAAATGGACCCAAGTGAGCCAACACATTTTACTTTTCTCACGCCTTATATCAACGACCAATGCATCCCGGTGTATTTCTGAACGTTTACGCTCGATTTGTTTAATTTTACACTGATGCTATTTATCAAAGTATTCATCTCGGAAGACGCTCGGTAGATGACCCAGATATCTTTTGATTTCATCGTGTTCACCCCAGCCGTCCTACGGGACGTGTCAAGCACTTACTTTTATCCCGTGATAAATCATTGTTCATTGTTCAAATAGCCCAACTGCACTGCGGTGGGTCGAATTGGGGGAATCGCGCCTATATTGGGAGCATGTGACTTATTGCTGTACTTGTATTCCTTTTGTTTGGTCAATCACCAAACAAGGGCCCAATCCTCTTACACTTTCAGCCATAGGATGTTGGGATATAACACACTAACCGAGTGAAACAAGGGGCGGTGACTTTATTTAGTAGCGAGTCACATCCGCCACGTCCCAGGATTGTTAAAGGTACATATGTAACTTTCATAAAGTGAACGCTTGCCAGGCGCCACCGCACCAATACTGAAACACTGCCGCGGAATCATTGAGTTGAACAAGATAACCCTGAACCACCCAGCTGACTCCACTAGGGTGTCATTCGGCAAGCCATTCACACGCGGGCTAAGGGCATTGCGAAGGTCGCCGGGTCCCTACGCAAGCTTGAACCCGTGCGCTCGGATTTCAAAACAGGCTTGTGATTCAGAAGGCTTTGGTCTATCTCATCTTTCCAGATGATGTTTGAAAAGATGACGGTCATCCAGTGCCCTTACGGATGTGTGACGGTTACGAGACTGCTTTTGTTCGTGATGCATTAAACTTGTGATATTTAACTATGCACTCCACTCCATTGTTTCCTCATTGCACCGACTCGCTTGTTCGGGTTTTGTAAATTGTTGCATTGTTAATCTGCTGCTGGATACGGTGATAACTAGGCTACGTCAACCTCGTGCTTTTCGAAAGCCGAAGGGCCAAAGTTATTCGCAGAAAACCTAGTCAACAGTATCTATCTGATTTCAAACGCAGGTGGTCTCGAACTATTGCATTCGGATTCGGAGCACCACCGGATTAAAGCACGCTAATGCATGTGCGTCAAAAGAAACAATATTATCAAAGACAACAACTTAGCAGGGATTTAGAAAAAAGATGTAGTGATTAACCGTACGTAATGGATAAAGGATACAATTTCATTAGGGGAAGTTGCTTACATGTCCTTCGTAATAAAACCTTCGCACGTATATGTTTTCATTATTCCTTTTCCTTTCACAAAAAACTCCCCACGATACGCAAAGTTGAAACGGGTTCTCAGTAAATTTTTCACATCCTCTGTAACCTGAATCGGCCCTGGCACACTAGTGTAGCACATACGGCTGGCTACGTTCACCGTGTCACCCCATATGTCGTAATGTAACTTCTTGGTTCCGATAATGCCGGCAGTAACCGGGCCACAATTGTAACCAACTTTGCTTTCAGAAAAGCCACTCCCGTGCGGTCGTAAATGCGAATTTCTTGAAGCACTTTACGCAGTAAGAAACAATACCTCATTAGAGCACACAAGTGACTCATTTTGTCCGCATTTTTCGCCACCTCTTTACGATTCAAACCTGCAGAAACCATGTAATTCTCGTTCATGGATTTAATCTTCTCAACATCCTTCGCACTTGGATGATGTAGCAACTTGTCGAATGCACACATAATAGTGTGTAATAACCGGAGGGACCGCTCCGCGCCACCTAAATCCTCCCGGTACAGTGTGGAGAAAAAGTTCGAGACCGAGATGAAGGCAACGCCGACCAAGGGATGGGCAACAGCATAATGAAGTGTGCCTTGGTTTTTGGTCAAATCTCCCTTTCCAGTCTCCTTTAGCTCTTCGAACACGTAGGCTGGAACAATGTTAAACAACATTTCATTGGCCTCGGCGATGGCCTTCTCGGATGCCTCACTTTCGATTTGTGCCTCTCGATGTACAAAGAAACATAGCTTGCATGTTCGCTCCATCTATCTCGCAACTATGATCACCAACAAGCTGCAACAAAGCAAATGATATATGTGCACAATAATCCACTTGTGTACGTGGACCCCACAAACGAGGTAAAGCTTAGTTAAGCAGAACTGTCCTCTGGGTAGGTGGTGTAAATAGAAGATAAATGTAATGATCAGCGTGACGAAACTGAGCATGCAACTCAAACCTCTGGCCCAGGAGGCGGAAGAAGATGGGATCATGTGCACAAGGATACTAATATAATTGAAAGCTGCAAACAAGTACATTCGTGTGGCAGCATTTTCACCAAAGGTGTTGTATCTGAATGTTGTCGTAAGTATCGTAGGGAGAAAGGTAAATAGACCAAGGTAGCATTCTCGAACGATTGGATGTGAAGCAAACCGATAGTACTGTTTCAACCAGACATTATCAATACTATCTGCATGAAATGTTCCAAGAAACCACAGCGTTCCGAAGATAATGCAAGTTATGCAAAGTGCCACACAGCACACAGCGATATGCCGAGCATCAAATCGGTCAAAAAATCCGACGCTAGACAACAGCAAAGTGAATATAAATAAAACAATCGCGTCAACTGTACGAGCCAGTTTCTCCGAATCCACGTAGGTTGGTCCGATGTTAGAGCGCAAATATTGCTGATAATGCCACTCGATTTCAGAATTCACGAATTGCAGAAGCACAGGGTCGACCGGAGGTGACTGAAACAAAAGTTGCTGCTTTGCCGGGTCAGTTCGCAAGTCTTGAATGAGTTCCATATCTCTCCTCAGATGAAGCGCATTAGTCTGATGGCTTAACTTAAGGTTAGCAAGTGCCTCAGGGGATAATTCGAATTCAAACCATTCACCGCTACTCTCGGTGCTATCAAATGAAGAATCTGAGTTCTCTGTGATGTCGGTAGAATCGGAAGAGCTCCACTCTAACGCGCTTGGCTCTGACTGCTCCTGTGTGGAGTCATAGATTGATCTATTACGCGGGTGCGCATATCCATCGTAAATACTCCTGACGCGTAGCAATCTGGCTTGTGGTTCAATGAAATAAGTCGGAATACTCACAGACGCAACGGATCCGTCAATCAAAAACGACTGTTCGCGCTTATCGACCACCAAGTCTGGACCGGGGGTGACGATGTACACTTCTTTTACCTCGTCGTACGTCGCCTGGCTGATATGGACGAAACCGGGTTTCCCGGTGGACTCAAGTTCGTTCGCAATACGTACATCGTAGGAGTAGACATCATAGCGGAATCGCTCAAATCCAAGAATGGCAGCGTGAGCGATCCCAGTGTGAATTCCTATACGTACGTTCACTGCGTGTTGACGTTCGGCATTGAATACCCTCAAAATGTCGCACATGCACATGCCCATCTCAATACAGCACACAGCGTGGGAAATACTAATGTCTTGACTTCCTGCCATACATTAGTAACAGTCACCAAGTGTGCCCAATTTTTCACAATGCGTAGCTTTACATACCTCATCAAACTGTTTCATCAGATCACCCAACAATACGACAATTTGAAGGGCCGTGAGACGAGAACTTAGTTTGGTGAAACCCACACTATCCGCAAACAAAATTGATACGCTGTCTAGGGTGCGCATGTACAGCCACTCAGTGATGCCATGATGTTCACTTAGTTGACGTAATCTTCGATACTCCCTACTCACTTGCAGTGGCATAATAGTCTCTATCCAATGCATGCTGCCCTTGTGAGCGCGATGCGATTCATTTCGGGCCTGCACGCTCTTTGCTAACTTGAAGAAAGCAAACTTTCGACGCACATTGCTCCACAACCGTAGATAAAGCGCGCTGAAACAGACAACGATCCACACTAGAATACGCGCTGCCATCATCTTGGTTGTTCGAGGAGCCATGTCCATAGTTTCGCTAGCAACACGGGCCACGTCAAACCAAACCCATGTGGTTGAATTCCAAGTTAATGCTTCCTTTGCTTTATTTCTGTAAGCCTCTCGGTTGTAGGTGACATCCAACGACTCCAATAAAGCAACTAAAATAAGCGTTATGCAAATACCAAGCTCCACACGTAACGGAAGCAGAACGAAAGTGGTCAGCACGGAGACAAAAATAAGGGCCCAGAGAGGCCCGTTACCTGCGTATACCTGACATCGAACGAAAGTCAGTAGGCTAATATGCAGCAGACAGGCGAATAGTCCAAATCGACAGTATGCCTGGTAACTCCATTCACGAAATGTGAGAAAATATAGACCGAGAAACCTTAAACCAATAAATCCGAAAATGTGCATGCCAGACACCTTGGTGATTGGACAAAGTAATCCGGCTTCCAAAGTACAAAATATGCTTGAAAGAATAAAAAATTTGATAACCGTCCGATACTGTCGTTTGGTGCGATACAGCCATAATTGATAAAAGTAGTCGTTGATGAAATTGGATTGAAATTCCAACGAATGTAACACACGACGAAGCGTAATCAGGTACTCTCGAAATACTTCGAATCCATGACGGTCATCCCTGAATAGGTCGGTTGAAAAGTGCGAATATATGCTATTTTCACCGAAATCATTCAGGCCACGATACCAGGCACGCATCGAACCTGAAGTGTAAGACGGAGGAAATTCAAACTAAGTGGACATCGATCCACATGTTAGGTCATATTTAGCAATCTTGCAGCCTGGCAGGTCACTGAGGCATCTGAAAAAACCCGTGTTTTGAGCCCATCAACACCAAAGGGATTGGCCCCTGTCCTACATTAGAGGGAACATTTTCACCAACATCACACGTCAATCGAATGCTATATCAAAGGCTGTGTCCTAATGTGTCTACTCCGTGGGAGGTTCCCAATACCCTAACGTTTAATGTAGCAGAACTGTGAACAGCGGGATAATCTGGCTTCATTTTATTGCGTGTATTCTGAGTCAAGCGCTTACATGCATGTGGCGATAGGGTAATATGGATGTCGGTGACAAGGGATCAACGCAAACAACGAACTGTATGCTGCGGTGATGTGCCTACACCTTTCCAGGATAAAACTAGGTTGACCAAAAGTAAAGCTATTCTTAAATATGGGACCGCAGTCGCTGAATGACGGAAGTCTAGGTACCCGGAGAAGGCTTAAAATATTTTGCCTACTAATCACCTTGAATGATTCAAGATGATGTTTCTACATTGCGCCATCGGACAGCGACTTATTGTACGAATTGGCGGGTAACAAGACTGTTCAACACTCGCTCAGTCCGACCAATTTACATGCACCCGTAAGCATGGTTAAATATATGAACGCATGAATCAGCTAGAGACAGACCGAGTGATTTTTGTTCAATTTTGTCGAGAACTTCATCATGGTGTGTTCCCTTGCGAAGCCTCAAGATGTAGGTTTTGTGGTGCTGCCAGGTAAAAAGCTGGTTGATCTTGATTGTGCGGACCATATTGTCCTGCTTTTTAACGATATTGGGGTGGTGTAATCAAATCTGAATAACTCTCTAGTGATCCCATCATTTGGCGTGCTTGTCACATCTTTATTTGCAAAGTGCTGTTCCGGGACCACTTGCCACTTGAAGACCCCTTGACCCTTGATGGTGAGAAACTCGAGGTAGTTGAGCATCTCACCTAACTTGTCAGTTGAATCAACAAAGATGGGCGCATAGCAACTGAAGTCGGTTCAGGCATTGCAAAACGTAGAACTGCATTTTTGAATCTGCGACAGCTGCGGCGTCAGCAAATGGTTTCCCTTCCTCTAAAAGGTCGTGCACACAAGGCGACATTGATGACTGTCCCTCTTTAGAAGCGAGACGGCCTATCCGATCTGAGAACATGCGACGCCTTCAGGTCTTTGACCATCATTGCCTGCGAATAATTGCTGGTGTTGGATGGCACTAGCGTGTCCACAAAGATGACGTGCGTAGTCGAGTACTAAGCAGTGATAACCTGGGTAGTTCCTTAGAACAACTGATAGAACTGCATTATGGCGTTGGCTTGGGCATGTGATAAGTGACCTCACCGATGACCTTGACCGAGCAAGCATGCCAATGGTGCATTGGTGCACTCTAGATTTTTCACCCTTTCTCATTGTCATATTTTCGCATGCCACTGGGTCTAAAATTTGCGCCTTATTTTTACAAGCTTTATCTCGTCGCCACCTTCTCTCGAGTATACTACAGTGCATCGTATAATTACCTAAAAGTGTAAACGCCGGGCATTGTTCCTCCTATAGCCACATTCAAAGTTGCACCATTGCAATCGTTGAACTCCTTGTTTGGCCTCACTCGATAGAGCAGTTCGACTGTGTTCGAGGAAACCCTTAAGAGTTACATCCAACACTGCGTGGATCAGCTGCAGAATAATCTTCATTCGCCCAGCAGCAAACCCCTCTTAGCGTCAAGCGAATTTGCTTTGCGCTCAATAGACAAAGCGAGGTAGACCCGTGTAGCACCGGCCTCTAGCCTAAAGGTAACGAGATTGTCTTGTAATCTGATGGCGTGGGTTCGAGCCCGCGTAAAGGCAGGGCGATCCTCGCGGTATCGTTAACCGGTGTTGATTGCGCGGCAGCGAAGCCTTGATACAGCGTACCGACGGATACCGTTCCTAGACCCATTTAACCGGTTACAGCATAATGTTGTCTGTAGGCAACGGGCCAGAAAATTATTCACCCACTTACCTTTACATGGTTATTCATATCAGGAGTAAGTTCCCTTTGTAGAACAGATATTTACGGATTATTTTGTTTGTTTGTCGTTCGGTTTGATCGCAAGAACATCTTTTGAACGCCAAAACAGTGCAGTGATTTGGTTGGAAATCAACGAGCTCAGAACAAGACATTTCCTTCCCTTATTTCACGCTAATAAAGCGTTAGTTGTCAAAATAAAATTATGACATTTGAAAGTGCTATTGGGGATTACATTATTCGTACTTTTCTTCCTTGTTTGTGTCACATGGACCTAAGAGGTGGCGCGTATGTGCGCAACCATGATTTAATTGCTCACGCTCTACGTCAAGCGCAACCATTCTACTGGGCTTGTCAATCACTTATTTTTTTATACCGTGATAAATCAATGGTCATTATCCATCACAGTTCAGGCAACCACAGATACGCATGCCACCAGCTCTGTGATGGGCATTTATGTTTGGATACTGAAGTTGTTCCATGCTGTTTGACACAGATTGAAGTCTCGGTTGCTATAGGTTGCTCTTGAGAATCAACCACCTGACAGGTCACCGATGATATGACCGATTCTGATTTCAACCAGCACGAAACATCAATTTTAGAAAGTAACGGGTACAACGAGATTAGTTTGCTGCTCTGAGGATGTGGATTGGTGGATGCATGTATACAATTCCATCTGAGTTGTCAAAGTCCATGATAGAAGTGGAAAATATGCACAAGACTTTGTCTCTACAGTGGGCAGCAACCGTGTGAAGCGACACGTATATGCTGCGTTGTGTGAAGTTGGATAACAGAGAAATGGCACTCAATACCCAAACACTGCACTTTGCTCCGGTTATAAAACGTGGCATTCTTTCAAGAAAAATTGGCATCTAGTATCGATAGCTGCGTGGCGAGGAAGACAATCCAGATTATGCGGAGCCCCTAGTTCACACAAAAATATTAGATTCAAGTACAATTTTCGCTAAGGACCTAATAGTTTCCATGATTTCAGGTCTTTTTCTTTTATTCGCACCCAGTTAACTAGGATTGTCTTGACCACTGACCTCGTCTACTTTCTGTTGAGCTGGCCACCACAACAAATATTACTTTTTATGCATAGAGCAGACGTACTGGAGCATTGCCATACTTCTCACGGTGGTCTATCCGTACGGCACAGATCAGTGAGGGAGTAGATGAGCAATGCGTTCTGGCTTGTCTGGGACAGTCAATTTCTTATCGGAAGATCCAGAGTAAACTGTAAGCTCCACTTGATCACACGTTAACCTGAGTGGGCCGTACACAGTTGTTTGCATATGGTGTACTGGTAAGCGCATTAAGAAACTTCATTTCAGAAACTGCGCATAGTTAAAATATAGTCTGCAAGTCAATAAAAACTCACACATAATTTAATCTTGTTGAATGCTAATCTCTTTATAGCGTGTAGAAGGAAGCATTTCGCTACCTGGGTTTGCATGCTAATAAGACGATGTCGTTATGTATTTATCGGTAAAACAGGTAATCGCTGTGTAGATAGTGTTTCCAAGAGTTCATACTGTCCATCTTCTGCAGTCAGCCGTTTATAGTTCGCCACTGCTTGCATCTGATCCCAGTTGATGTAGCCATTAACAGTTGGTTCGGTGGAATAACAGGGAAATGTGAACACCTAGGCCTGTTAAAAGTGCGCTTGATGTCTTCGCGACTCGTCCAACAATTTAGCATGTGAGCTCTTAATGAATTATGCAAGCA